GTGCATTTTTGCTTTATTGGGGGGGGTCTGGGGGGGTCCGAAAACCAGTCAGTATCTGGTGTGACCACCATTTGCCTCACGCAGTGCAACACATCTCCTTCGCATAGAGTTGATCAGGTTGTTGATTGTGGCCAGGTTGTTGATTGTGGAATGTTGGTCCACTCCTCTTCAATGGCTGTGCGAAGTTGCCGGATATTGGCAAGAAATTGAACACTCTGTCGTATACGCCGATCGCAAACATGCTCAATGGGTGACATGTTAGGGTTTAACCCTAGGGTTTTCAGACCCCCCCAATAAAGCAAAACTGCACTTTTCAGAGTGGCCTTTTATTGTGGCCAGCCTAAGGCACACCTGTGCAATAATCATGCTGTCTAATCAGCATCTTGATATGCCACACCTGTGAGGTGGGATGGATTATCTCGGCAAAGGAGAAGTGCTCACTATATCAGATTTTTTCGATTTGTGAACAATATTTGAGATAAATGGTTATTTTGTGTATATAGAATTTTTTTTAGATCTTTGAGTTCATCTCATGAAAAATGGGAGCATAAACAAAAGTGTTGCATTTATATTTTTATTCAGTGTAATTATCCTCTTGTGTTTGTTTCATCATTCTGTTACACATCTTTTGTTATCATCACATAACAACATCAAGCCGTGCTCAAGGCAAACATAGAACATGACCTCAGACTGTTCCATGTGAAGGGTAATCATTTCAACTACAAGGCTGCCCTTCTTTAACTGGCTGACAAGCACATTGATTCTCACCTCATATTTTGGAGCTTCATTCCACGAGTCCAGTTGGAAGGAGAAGGACAGGCCTCGAAAGTTGAGATGGAACAACTGCTCTGCAGCATTGTAAACTGAACAGAGGGGAATGGAAATGGAAACATTCAATTAAAAGCTAAATAACATTAAAATTCAGGCACGTTTGTGAGACATCCTTTAATGTGTTTTTGCTTTGTAGTACCTCCAGGGTGTGTAGCTCCAAATGACTGGTCTATTTGCTCTATTGTGGGGGCAATGGCCTGAGAGTTGAAATGGACTCCACTGAAACACAATACACACAGCCTGTGTTACATCTATTAACGCTTATACAGGATGTACTGCATTAGTTATGGACCTTTTGCATACAGACACATTAACACAGGGGGACTCCATTACTGGGATGCCTCTAACTATATAGCTGTATTACTCTGCTATGAGATGCTATGCCTTGTAATTAAAAAATATGTATTTTGCAACTTAGAATGTACAGTGTATGATTACAATGGCCATTAGATAGATGAGAGCCTGTAGATAAAGGCCTATAACAATAACACATGAGAGTCTAAGACGATTGAAATTGTTCCTATACGTTTCTAAATGCAACTAGAAGGCAATATACATTTTGCATTAGTATATTTATATTTGTACTCACCAATATTTCAGCTTGACTTTGCTCAGGTCGTACACTTCAATCACCTGCCATTCAGAAAGATGAAAAAAATTACAACGTGGACAAATTAAAATGGTTACTTAGATGTGAATAACAATGCCTAAAAAGTCTGTTTACATCTATCTAGAAAAAGGTGGGATTTTGCAACTGCTGCTGCTAAATAATTGCGGAGCAATACAGCCACCTCTCCTCCATATCTGCAGTGGAACTCCAAGTTCAATTCAATCACTGCTAAAATTCCTGTCTAATGTTATCTTAAAGGTGACCTATCATGCAAAATGCACTTTTGTACGTCTTTTATACATGAATATGTGTCCCCGGTGTTCCAGGGAACTCACCAAGTGTCAGAAAAAACAACCCTCTCTATTTTCCTCCATACACAAATCTCTTAAAAAGGGGCTGCAACGGATCTGATACAGACTGATCCAGATTTGAACACTTCTATGACGTCACAGAAGTGGCGCTACGGCTATTGGGCCAACTCCACCAATCAGGAGGAGACAGCCACGGACATTGCCGTTCGAAAGCGCTGGAGACGCTGTAGTACATATGCCAGGCCTGTAGATGGTGCTGTTCTCACAGAATCAGCCCATGCAAAGACAGTGTTAAATTGAGCGAAATGAGGAATGGCTAAAATGCATGATCTGTTTGATATTTTGAAAAATAAAAAGTATAAATATGCCTTATACAGGTATGGTCCTACACTATATTATTCAAATATAGCATGATAGGTCCACTTTAAATAAATACATGTCATATACAGATGCTGAGCTTATTGAGTGTCTTTTCAAAGGTCCTAAAATCAACAACTTTCACCTTGAGTCTCTGATTTGTGGCATCAAACAGCAGTTTAATCCCATCCTGAGTCAAATTCAGTATGAGGTCATGGCTGAGTGGCGTCTGAAGGGGAGATAAACAAAAAAGCAGATTAGCTGATATGCAGACAGGCAAAGAATCAAAATCAGCTCATTTTCAACTTAACCTAGGAAACAAGTCACAAAACAAAATGTAAGACACAAAAATATAGACTGCTTCATATGAATGAATGCAAGTGTAATTGATGTGTTTTATATTTGGTGTCATCCGTGTTAATATGAACTACTTCCAGTTGCTCTTGATACAATCTTTAATCTAAAAGGTATATGATAGTGTAAAAGCAACTTCCCCTTATGACCTTAGGTAATAGCTATTGAACCTTGGGGGATAATTATAGCCTGACATGCATTTGATATTTGAGGCTGATAAATACAAATAATATGCCTATATATTTTTTTAAATAAAGATTTTTTTCCGGATTGTTTACTTTTAAGGAGGATTTGTAGTACACTGAAGTTGCAGATTGCAACCAACTGAATGCCCCTTTGCTCACCCCACACTTTCCAATCGTGTCATAGAACCTAAGGTGGCCTTCAGGATATGCCCTCTCAAGGATCATTGTTTGTTTTTTCTGTTTTGGGCTACTGTAGAAACATGGAGGTGCAACATAGCCGACGCGGAAGAGTCCCACTTCATATATTCTTAGTAATTAATTTGATAAAACACTAATGCACTACACTAGGTCAAAAATGTGTGTCATATTGAATCTTATCAGCCTGAATGCACAGCAATACCAATATCGATATACGTTTAATAAAATATGTGAATGCAATACAGGACAGCCTAAACAAAACTAAATAAACACTGCTGCCTAACATGAGATTCTTAAACAAGCTATTTAACCTTTGTTGTGTGTTTGTGTCTGAGAGAGAAAACACAAATGAAGAAAAATATTACCTGTTCACTGTATAGCACCTGGACGTTTTTGATAATGCGGCAGTGTTTCTGCAGGATAGAGATGGCCTGGGCCAATGGCATCCCTGAAAACACAACAACGAAATGAAGAAATTCCATTTCTTATGGAGCCTTAGCCGTTTACAGTTAACAATAACATAAGCATGCAAGAGACACATTAAATGTGGCTTTCAACATTACTGATAGCTTGTAGATGCATTTGTTCTTTTCATCACTGTTATGTTGTAAAACTTACCTAAGGCGAATTCCCATTGCTCATTTCCTAGTGATCTCTCAGGCACCACCTCAAGATCCAGCATTGACAAGTAGTGGCAGGGCAGCTCACCTCACCTCAAGACACAATGGGACCCTCTGAGGGACCCTTTTTTCCTCGCTTGTCTCTCCCTGATCACAACACAGTCTCACAATAGTTTAAGATCTGTCTACTCTAATTCATAACTCTATTGAGTAATTGTTCTAAATGTGACCATCAAGCAACTAATACATATATGGTAAAGAGTGGTCCCTTTCTCACAAGTGTGTTTAATATTTAAAATGACATCCACAGAGCCTCGTAGTAAATGCATACGTTAAAAAAAATTATAATCTATTTAACAAGTTACCCAGGAAATACTGACAGCTTGTAGCAAAACAAATTACGCAACCTGTCAGGCAACCTAAAACGAACAAGGCCAGCTGTCAGTTAACCTATTACTTGTCCGCTTGGTTTTAAAATCGATGCAGATGAAAAAAAATGCAATCCACTCGAAGTCGGGAATAAACCAACAGATAAGACGGACGTGTTCATTAACCACAATGATCTGCTAAGAGCTCTTATTATCAACTTGTCCGGTTTCCGTGCTGCCCTGCGTCTCCAAAACAGCACCTGATCCAGGGACAAACAGCTGGAAAATAGAGGCACGACAACACTTTCTCAGAGCCTGAATATTGACACTGTTAGCTGTTGTTATCTGTCAGAGGCGGGCAGTTACGAAAGCATCAGCGCTCGACAACAACACTGTTTATATGCGCTATGGGCTAACGTTAGCTGATGAGCTAGCTGCCACTAGTGTACTGGTAATGAAGTATACATGTAAATAGTCTAGGTGAGGAAACAAAATCCACATTCAATCAAGACAAAGAAAAAAATAAATATCGCAGTTAAGACTGGCACGACGTAAACAAAGCACGTAGAGCGGTCTGCTGTCTCTCTTTCTTCCTCTCACCGGAGCTTCAAGCTTTGAAGCTAGCTCTTCAGCAGCTAGTGCGCAAATTCAAAGTCCTCGCTGCGAGACGCTTCCCTTGTCACTTAGAAGCTCGTGAGGCGGTAATGCTTAATGCCCACCGTGTCCCTTTCTCGGGTTTAATATGTGTCCAGTGTCAGGAGCAGATAAGAGCAACACAGTGCCCCAACAACAGCAACTTCAGGCATCAACAACAGCCAGCAGGATCAGCTGATAATTCAACTTCCTGTGTTCGACGCACGCTCTCGGTTGGCGTGATGACGTCATGGTTAATTTGAACATAATTCCTTTTCGCCATTGACTGTATGGTTTTCTCGCAATACCTTTTGGGGTTTTACTGTATTATTAACCTGTTAAGCACTGAGCCTTTTTTTCGGGTCTCAGGCTCGAAAATGACATTTCCAGAACAAATGACCATAACTACACTTCTAAAAGGGCGGTGTAGAACAGGTTTGTATAGGCAGAAAAATGGTCTTGTTGGAAAAAAGTGTCTTAAGATTTTTACTTTTCTTTAAAACTTTGCGTATAACATCCTGAAAAAAAAGACAAGACAAAAATCAATATTGAATATTCTTTTACTCTGTAAGTTAGAAGACAATCTTAATTAATTAATTTGATTTATCACCGTATGTTTACCAAAATGCTCTCAATGAAAACAGTACGAAAAATTCAAATTCAGGATGAAGACATGTTTTTTTAAAGTTAGTGCAATAATGCCAAGAACTACAGCAATATGGCACATCTGGGACTTTATTCCAAATCACCAATTTCTTAAATTAGGTGTTGTGCCCTATTTGCTTAGGTCCAATTACAATTTTTTAAAGACCTTGTTTTTTTCACCGCACCAATATCTCAATAATCATTACATACTATTTGTCTCCCCTAAATTGGTTAGGGTTACCCTAACTCTAATCCATTACTGGAGAAGGTTAGTTTCCAATAGCCGTTACCATCTTCTAACGTGGTCAACATCAAGATTGGAACATCTTTTGTGGAATTGATGATAAAAAATTAGCTATCCTAATAGTATTATTCTTTTTTGAAAGAATTCGCCAAATATATATCCTCCTGGGACCCAGCCCATTCACAAATGTCCACTGTAGTGGACATTTTGTTAACATGCATCTCCTTTTACTCTTTTGAGCTACTCTATCAATCTCTACTGCACTGTACAGAGGACATCCTGGGCTTTCCAGTGATATGTCATTGGTTAAAATTGCATGCTGGGAAGTTCCTCTTTCATTTCATCCAAAATGGCAGGCATACCAACAACAACATTTTATAGAGGCAGGAAGAGAAGTAAAATAGTGTTGATTAATTGTTATTATTAACATGAAAATCACATATGTTCTTGTTTATTAACAAGTGAGGAACTATATAATTATTACTGAAAGCAATTCAATAATTCAAGTTTTGAAATAAGAGCTCTTTTATAAATGTCCATTCTAGTGGAAGTCAGGGTGCATCTTCATGGACTTAATTACTCAATATTGTTACAGGAGACGGAACTGAAGCAGACATTTTCTGTACCAGATAGTTAAGGGAGATTCAAATTTGGAGCTCTCAGATTATGACAGAGACGAGGCTTTCACACTTGGGATAGAAGAGGGGGAAGAAGAAGGGGAAAAGATGCAGGAGGCTCAGATGAGCGTGCAGATACAGACATAGAGACAGATAGGGACGAGGGGGAAAGACATGGCCCTCTGTGGGCCAAGAGTACCACGTATGTCTTATATACAGTATATCATATGTATGTGTTCACATTTTTAAGTTTCCGCTCAGTTTGTCAATAAAGGCTCAATATATTTTTGACAGCCTTTATCTTGTGAATTTTGGTCCATGGTTTCTCTTTCTCTTTGACAGATTATGAACAAAACATTGCCATGGTAACAGTGTAGGTAACTTAGACTTTTTGTGAGCCATAATGTCATACTCACATTTACAGTTTGCAGCAGAAACACACTCTTTGCAGGCTGATTTCAAAATGGTTTAAAACTGGGATTTCTATGTAAATATTTTCTTATCCATCCAATGAATGAGAATAAACGGATTACAGCTGATTAGTCTGTACCAGTATGAGATCTGGGGATTCTCCAGTTCTTAAATTCAGACTTCTCTCAACATGATGCAGGCTGGATGTAGAGGATCTGACTGTAGCAGTGCTTTCATAGATTTCAAACAAATGTCAAGTATGTGCTTAAGCAGATAGTTCAATTCCCTTTATTCCCCTTATTTGAAACATCTCAAATAGTGCTCATGGAGTTTAGTTGCAGGAGTTCTATTTTTTATCATCATTTTCAACACTATAATTTAAAACAGAATTGTTGGTTCACCTGTAGACTTACAGTACAAATCAGGTGGTAAACATCGGACAAAATCTACCTGAAATTCACTTACTAGGACCCTTTAGTTTTATTCTTTATGTCATTGCCTCACTGTCCCATATATATGTGGCCGATCTAGAAGTTAGCATCACAAGAGTTCCAATGATAAAAGCTAGAGGGATTTTCCCATTGCAGAAAATAAGCTCTGTGGCCAACAGATGTTTATGATAATCTCCAAATAATAACACCACTCTTTTAATTTTGAAGCGTAAATGTAATTGCCATAAGTAAAAATCTAACGTTGTAAACAACCTTCATTTCAACATTAGTTGAGTGGGTTCTTTTCTGACGTTATTTAAGTTGTGGAACAAAACATGTGTCTTAGGTATAATGGTGCATGTATTTAGGACGGTCAGTGCCTAGAATAACTATCTGGTAGCTTTTGTGCACATGACAAAAAAAGCCATTTAATCTTAAAAAGTGGAACATAACTTAACTAATGTAATTCTTCTGGGCAGAAGCATTAATATTGGTCCGCAAAAATGCTTGTTTTTGCCAGCTGTAGTTGTAAATTAACAGAGAATTACATTTATAGCGAGTACTTGTATGATCCTGAATCACACAACTAAAATTCATGCTTGCGAGAGCCATAGTGGGGGTCTTCCTTTTATATTAAAAGTGTTTATTTTTTAGAAATTCTACTTTTCACTGCCAGCTGTATTCTGCTTCTACTGTCTACTTGAATATGTACTTTTGTGAATTGTAAAACATTTTATTTTAAATACTATGTGCATGCGTTTTCATAAAATAGTGTTCTATTTTCTTCATATATATCAATACTTTGCTGTAACAACGTGAATTTCCCCTTTGCGGGACGGATAAAGGTATTCTGATTTGTCATTTCGTTTAGTGAAGTGACTGGTCTGTTTAACATAATACCAAAGTATAAAGCATTGATTGGGGAATATGACTGTTTGTGTGAAGACAATATTTTGTCCAAAATCAATGTAACTCACTTGGGTGTAATTAAGCTGTTATGCTTCCAAAAGAAACCTACTTTCTATTACTTTTTATCACATAATTGTCCTATTGAGAACTCTTTTCCACAGCATAAACTTTCTGGACAATTAAGTATTTCTTTATGGTCCCATTTCCATTTAGCATCTCAAGAAAGATCCAAAGGTACCTAGATGTAAAGCCAGCTCATATTACTCATCAAAAAAAGTGCTTGCAAGCAGTCTTTGAACTGTAGAACAATGTGAGAACACACATGCTGTAAAAGCAGCAGATTTATTCTCTCCCTTTGCTGTCTGTGTGTCTAAACCTGTACCCTTTGTAGTCGGATAACAGTACAGAGGCAGATATCTCCTCTCGTGGCTGACATGCTGTCTGTGTCATCTCCAGCTCCCTTAATAAGCTGTTTATTCTGCTGCTTCTTTGTGTATGACAGGGTCTAGCCTTTGTAGTGGTGATAATGCGAGCTACTGTTATACGTCGGCCTTCCTGGAACATAAAAGCATTCCATTGCTCTCGTGTGTGAAAGACTTTCCATGTTGGGACGGACTTTATTAATGATCACACCCAGAGATTATACTATCAAGGCTGGAAGATGTAATACAATTGACTTCACATGGAGGGAGAGAATCTGACTTGTTTACCCCACTGGCCTCATCATCTCCTTTTGTGTTTCCACATCACATAACATCTAAAGAGCTTAAGGAGGCTGGGATCCGGGAAGATTCATCACAATCAGAATACATTATTTATCCCAAGGGAGGAATCAGGTTTCATGACAGTTGCACAATTTTAGAATAAAATATAAGAAGTTGAATTTAAAATGTGCAATAAAAGTCCTTTTATCCTCTGGGAAATGACTTCTGAGGCACAGGAATGAGGCAGGACGTCTATGTTGGACCAAACTTTCCGGAAGCTATCGGTAGAAATCGTGTTGTTAGATATATCCTGTAGTAGCCATGTTTCTGTAAAGTTCATTAACTAGACTCCGGATATTCTTTCTAGCTAATGCCATAAGCTAGTCCATTCCGTCAGCCAGTGATCTTACGTTGCTCATGATAAGAGAGGGGAGACATGGCTTATATCTCCTTTTTTTTCTCCATTAGTACAGACCCAGCAGTCTTCCCTCGCCTACAGAAACCATGCACAGCATGATATTGAAGATCACGGTTAAATATATTTCAAATAAACTCAAACATCACTAAAACTCAAACTAATTGTGGGTTTGAATGTTAATTGTGTCAAAGCCTTAGTAGTCTATCCAAAGAGTTTGAGCCTCAAGAAGACTTTAAAGTCATACTGTATCAATGCTGCTATATTGTATTGCCATGTCATAAATGCTTTATTTATGTATTCTGCTCTTATTCTTGCACTTTTCTTGCATTTTATGTATTTGTGCTGCTATGTTTGTAAATCTCATTTTCTTTTATTTGAGGGACTGCAGATGGAAAGTGGCTCAAAAGCTAAATCCGGCACATTTACACTTGGCACATTTATGTTTGGCACATTTATTGTTTTAAGTGTTCATTAATGTGCAATGTCCCTACCAAATAAACGATTAAAGTAAGAATAAATATTCATAAAACATAACTTAAGCTACAAAAGGTGCTGTAAATGTTAACATTATTACATCAATGTTCAAGTTGAATATGCTTAAATAAAAACGCCATTGCTAAAATCCCCCCAAAAATATTCCATTTATTTAAGTAAAATAATATGCCTTTGTACCAGATGTTTGATATATTGTTGTATGCTAATGTTGATCAACGTTGGTGTTGCTGGTGGTTACATCATTAGATTTCCCCATAGACTTTGTGACCTTATCCTATACGGAGCTCATTCTCTAACAATACATGTGGGTAGCATCTGTTCCTCTGTCTCTATTCACTCTCCCATCCAGCATTTCTTTTATCAGTCTTCCCGAAAACACTACAGCAGTTGTTATAAGAAATTGAAACCTAAGTGATTTTCACAAAGACATTTTACAGTTGTAATCTCTGTTGTCTGAAAACGTATACACCGCCAATCCCTTTTTTGTCCTTCTGTTATAAAATGAATGTTTCAGCTAGGACTCATTACCAGACTATCTGTTTATGTTGCACAGTGTTTTTTGCCTGTGAAAGGGCCAATGGGAAATGGTGTTCAATAAAGCGCACTAAAAAACAAAACATTGATATAACAACAATATCAATGCCTTTTTGGTATTTGTCTTTTTAGTTATGTCTCTAATTTATAGCATTAAGCAAGTCACATGACATACTGGGTGTGTTTGTTTGTCCAATCTGATGCCCTACACTCTAATGACAGAGCATGTATTTCCATATACAACCCATACCGTGTTCCTGTTAGTGTTTACTTCAGCCCAATTCCAAGTCACACCCTACCCACTCCCACTCGTGACAGAGTGAACTCAGTGGCGGAGTAACAATCGCAGCTAAACGAGGCTCCCTCCTGTCTAGGGATGGGTATCGTTAAGGTTTTAACGGTACTGCTACTTTTATCGATACCGCTTATCGGCCCGGTCTTTTAACGGTACTCTTATCGGTTCTTTTGGAGAAAAAAACAAGATAAACTAACTAAACAAATTGTGAACAAAACTAACATTGCTTTTTATTTAAATTAAATAAATAATATTTCACATCAAAAGAAACAAAAATGCTTTAACAAATCGTATTAAATAATCTGAAGACAGAATAGCTAACTCAGTAACTCAGTTACCTCTAATCATCAACCAATGTTTGTATAATTGAGTTAACTCTGTGTGTTGATGCTAGCATACATAATACCTGACGTGGAAACGTTACTCGTGGATGGGGCTACAGAGCTACTATAGAAAGACAGCCGAACCCGGTGCATTTCTCCGTCTGAATGTGGTGCACTTTTGCTAAATGTTTCGACAAATTGCTCGTGTTACCGCCCTTACATGCTAAACTCTTATTGCACTTTTGGCAACGAGCATTGTCCACATCGAGGCGGGTAAAGTTTAACCACACCTTGGAGCGCGTTCTCTCGTCATCCCCTCCGTTTGTGTGTAAACTGCCCCGCCCCCTTGCACACAGACGGGGGAGAGAGAGATCTCTCGACTGGATTGGAAAGATCGAAAATA